TCTGAGTCCTCCTTTCCTTCATACTTGGGGATCTTAGGGGGCATGAAATTTGCTGGCATTGGGAAGCTTCGGATCTCCCTTGAGAAAGGGAGGTTATCATCATCATCGTCAATCTCATAAGATAGACAAGGCCCATCTGACCCTTCATCATCTTGAATGTTCTGGGGGTGGAGGTGCTTCTCCTCGACTTCCCCAATCTACTAGGTTCCTTCTGTCTCTCCTATTTCTAGGAGGAGAGAGAGCCTATTCTTGCTCGTGATCTGGACGAACTGATCCTCTTACTCATCGGACCCTATTGCTAGGACCCTCCCCTATCCAGTCGAAGATGCTTATCGACCTCTGTTCCTCATGTTCTCGAGGAAAATTGTCCTCCAAGTGTGGTTCTGATGGTTGGTTCCCTTGCACATAAGATGTGGCTTCGGCGTCCATCTCTCTTTGGAGGGGGCATTCTATGTGCTAGCTCATATGGCCTCGGGAGCGAGATACAGGGGCTTCCTGCACCGGATAAGATCCTTGGGGCATTTGATACCCTGATGACCCTGGGCTTGCATGAGAAGTTCATGCATCGCCAAATTCTGAGCTGTGATGTCCCTCATGCCCGTCGCTATTTGAGCCATACCTTCAGTGAGCATGGCCGTTCTTGCGCCTCAGCGATGCCGGTGATGGGGTCTCTAGTGAGTGACATTGTTATGGAGCATCTCTTCTTCAAAGACCTCTCTCATGGGGTCTTCATGGCTATAACTTGACTTTGTTCTTCTTCAAGAACTTGCCCTTTTCAAGGTTAGTCACAAGTTTTCTGGTGATTTCTCCGGTGGAGAATGCAGAACTTTCAATGGGAAGTGTTTTCCACAGAAGGCGCCAATCTGTTGACCTCGAAAATTGGACCTTCCACGTGGTCAACCGATAGCTACTCCACGTATTTCTCCCTGCGCACAATCAACGCACGGTCAGACGCACACGGTCGGGACCAGCGGGGGTGGTGGCAGCCGTATACACTCCGACGGTCAAGTCAGGTTTAGGTGGTCGGAACAGTACCCAGGGGTTGTGCAAAATAATAATAAGGGGGAGGAGAAAATATATAAACTTGCTATGGAGTGCTATGTAGTAAGAGTTTCATTACTTTTGCCTCTTGCCAAACCTTGGGTATTTATAGGTGGAATGAACTATTGGATGTGGGACACGTGTATGCATTTGATTGTATGAGACGTCCGCTCATAGGCGTCAATCATCCGCGTCTGTAGAGTGAACGGACAGTTTGTTTCTCCCGAGTTGAGTTGACATAAAGTTGATAAGTCACATCAACTAGCCTTATAGAGACGTCAAATCAATTTAAACCTTAGATGCACAGAGGATCTTGGCAAAAATCTCTTTCTGAAATTGGCGGCGGATCTTCTGACAGAGGTGCACTTCGCCTGGGCCTCAGGGCGAGGGCGCTTCGGTCAGTTCAGCAGGATCGTCTATGTCTCTCAGTGTGCTATCAGGTCGTTGACATTGGTGGGATCACTTTGGAAACACTTTGGATGGGTGTCTATCAAGTCGAAATGTGTGGTGGCGGGCATTCCGAGGCAGTTCAGAAAAGGGTGTAACAGAACTTATTTTGGTGTAAGCTTTTTTAGTTGTTTTTTACTTTCCTCCTCTAATTTTATCATGTCATTCACATCGCTAGCTTTCTCCTTTTTGCCAGCCCCAATGCCTTTATTTGGTATTTTCATAAGATGTACTCTAACCCTAGTACAAGTTCCTTCCATCATTTTATCACAAAAATTATACTTTTTTAAGAAATAAAACTATGTGACATGCATGTATTCAATACGTGACAATGATACTTGAGATTCGATATATGTTTGTTGTGACATTTAACCATTAACGTAATTTTGACCCATTTGCAATTAGATTTTGAATGGATCACAAGTGTCACAGGTGTTAATTGATCGTAGTTGCGGGTATTTGAGGATTGCCGACACAGTTATGAAAGAGTTTAGCTTTGACCCTGCAAAAGTTGCCGTGACAATGAAGTATGTCTTAAACAGTGATCTGCCTCCAATAGCAATCAAAAGTGACAAGAATGTCATTTTTTACATGATTTTAAAGGATATGAGTCGTGACCCTGCGAAATATCTAATTCACATCGAGGTGACAACTACAGATATCGAAAAACAGCCTATTGCGCTCTCAGTTGATGTTCAATCGAACGAATATGGGTTTTCATTAACAGATATGTCATCAAACATATGTGGAGTAATAATGGATCCATCTGGTGACAATCTTGAGCATGAGGTCACAGTTGTGGCGGTGGCAGATGCTAGGGAGGCCAATTAATATTACAACAGTGCTACACTTACAGAAAAAATTATACATATATTTTACAGAATACACACAGCAATGGAGCCCATCCCAATAAAATATTCACGAACCTCATGTGACTACCATATAGAAGATCTGTGAAATATTCCCTGTACACAAGGCATTTTCCTTAATATTAACCCCCTCCACCTCCTGTTTTATCACCTTTTTTAAACATACCTACAATGGATTCTTAAAATCTTCTTCAAAAGTTGAACAAACATTACTTCCTGTATCGATTCCAACAGAATTTGAACCAGATATGATTAGTAACAATTCAATCTACAAATAAAATTCATAGTAATTAAATAAAAAATTAATATCACAATTGAATCAATTAATCGATATTGATGTACAAACAACAAACTCGAAAGTAATTTTGAAACAACTTATTTATGTAATTTAATGATTAAAAAAATATTCAAATATATGGTGAATTACCTGCTCTATTTGCATCTACTATCTTCTTCAAGACTTCAACGTCGTAAGACTCTCGACATACAATCAGAGTTTAAAAAAAGGTGGCACAATAATTAAAAAATTTAGGTTAATGTTAAAATCTAATATTATAATGCTTTTATATAATAACTAAAGCTCATCATTTAATTTAATTTTAGGGAAAATTTCACATACAAGAGATTAAGTATAGGGCATTTCAAAAATAAGAAAATAAGTATCATATTTCAAAAATCAGAAATTAGCCTAAAAATAAATATAAATATTAATATAATTTGATATAGAAAACAATCTCGAACAAAGAGGCTGAGATACCATAATATCAGGATTCTCCTAAAAAAGAATAATTCATCTTTCAATCTGATTCCAATAGCCAGAAGATCTGAAAATACATCCAATTACGGCCGGCTCTTGCGGAAGTGACGGTGAAATCGAATTCTGGTCACAAATTACAGTCGCGGGTCGTATGAGGTCGGATTAAAACACATTGTCTCGAACAATCGCTGATTACATTATTTAGGCGTGTAATTAAATTGATCAGGTGTGTAATTGCGATTTATTCATTATAATTTGTCGTTTATTCACGCTAGACAAGCTTCGATTGATCAAAAATGTGATTTTTGACAGAACTGTGATCATGAATATCGGACATTGCTGTTCGAAACTGTTGTGACCATTATGGAAAACATGTGACCCTGGATACAAGATATAACCTCATGCATTCAGTATGCATGGGTGTTTGTGTCTCGAAATGTGTGACGTGTTTGAATATGTGTTTTATGATATTGATGCTCTTGTTTGAATCTAATCATATGCGACAGATCTATACTTAGTTACTGTGACCGATTATTGCATGTAATTGTGACACATTGAATACATGTGACCTGCATGTATTCAATGTATGACCATGACATTCAAGATACGACATGCGTTTGCTTTGACTTGTGATTATTTAACAGAATTGAGACCGACATGCAATTAACTGTGACCAATATACAAAGACTTGAATGTCACACGCGACCTCTGCAATGATCTGTGACCTCTCGTAAAAAAAATCTAGGAAATAAAACTATGTGACCTGAATGTATTCAATACGTGACAATGATACTTGAGATTCGATATATGTTTGTTGTGACATTTAACCATTAACGTAATTTTGACCCATTTGCAATTAGATTGTGAATGGATCACAAGTGTCACAGGTGTTAATTGATCGTAGTTGCGGGTATTTGAGGATTGCCGACACAGTTATGAAAGAGTTTAGCTTTGACCCTGCAAAAGTTGCCGTGACAATGAAGTATGTCTTAAACAGTGATATGCCTCCAATAGCAATCAAAAGTGACAAGAATGTCATTTCTTACATGGTTTTAAAGGATATGAGTCGTGACCCTGCGAAATATCTAATTCACATCGAGGTGACAACTACAGATATCGAAAAACAACCTATTGCGCTCTCAGTTGATGTTCAATCGAACGAATAAGGGTTTTCATTAACAGATATGTCATCAGACATATGTGGAGTAATAATGGATCCATCTGGTGACAATCTTGAGCATGAGGTCACAGTTGTGGCGGTGGCAGATGCTAGGGAGGTAGAGGAAGGAAGAGTCTTCCGTAATAAGAAGATAATGAAATTGAGCTTGTCGTTTTATGCAATCCAGAACATGTTTGAGTACGTGGTTGTTCGGTCCGATAAGAAAGACTATCTTGTAAAATGTTCACGTGATGAGTGTAATTGGATATGTAGAGCATCGAAGCTAGCCAGAACAGATATGTTTAAAATCAGACACATTGCAGAAGGTCACATATGTACTTCAAACATCGTACTCAGTACTCATAGGCAAGTAACAAAGACGGTTGTATCAACTTGTATTAAGTACAAGTATACATCATCGCGCACAATATACACACAGAATAATATACGCAACGACATGCTGCATACATATGGAGTATCTTTGAATTATGTCCAAGCTTGGCGATCTCGAGAGGAAACTCTAAAAGTGTTTAGGGGTGATCCAACTGATTCATTCAATAAGATACCAGCCTTTTTTCTGTGCTACAACAAACAAATCCTGGATCAGTCACAAGTCTAGAAATTGATGGTCACAATAGATTTAATTATTACTTCATGGCACTAGGTGCATCTATACAGGGATGGAAACATTGTAGGCCAGTTGTTGTGGTTGATGGCACCTATCTAAATGGACATTATGGTGGCACCTTATTCACGGCATGTACACAAGATGCAAATAACAGCATTTATGTACTTGCTTTTGGGATTGGGGATAACGAGAATGACAGCTCCTGGACATGGTTTTTTAGATAGTTGAGAAAAGCATATGGGGATAGAGACAGTTTGTGCTTCGTGTCGGATCGTCACAACAGCATCAAAAAGGCGATTGAAAACGTGTATCTGAGAGCATGTCACGGGATATGTTCGTACCATCTACTACAAAATCTAAAATCACGGTACGGGAGATCAGGACAAAACATAACATAAGCATTCAATGCAGTTGTTCATGCCTACACACTATTGGAATATGAATATTACATGCAACAACTCGACTCGATTAATGAGAAGATAAGGGGTTATCTGGTACTATACTATACGTTGTCCTATGATGATATTCACATAAATACGTTTAACATGGTACTGTACACTATATGATACACATTTCCATGTTTTTGTTTGTAGGACGAAGTTGGACTTGAGAGATGGTCACGTTTCCACATGCCTTCAAACCGGTATTCCACAATGACATCGAATATTGTGGAGTCGGTTAATGCGATCACAAAGTCTGCCAAGAACTACCCTATTCTAGCTTTGTTGGAGTCATTGAGACAAATTCTACAATCTTGGTTCTGTAGACATAAGGAGGACGCGCAAGGAACTTTTACAATCTTGTTAATCAAGTATGAGAAGAAGATGAGGGAAATGAGTACAGATATGAGAAACTTGAGGGTAAACTTGATTACTGTGACCTAATCTATAATCTGTGACTTACCTGAACTGATCTGTGACATGTGCTGTGACTTCTGCTGTGATCTATACCGTTGTGTTTCAGTAATATTTGTGGAATATTATATATAACTACATGACATGCAATTTCATCTGTGTCCTACTTTTTAATTACGTGACTTGTTATGCCTATAACTTGAGTCTATATCTGTAGGTTTTCCCTATTAATCAGGCAATGTTCTCAATTAACGGTGAAAGTTCCTCTTTCGTTGTTGATATAGAAAACCGGACATGCACATGTAGGATGCTTCAAGTTGATCAACTACCTTGTCCACATGCTTTGGCTGTGTTTGCGAGTATGAAGATAGATCCATATGAATACTGCTTCTACTACTACACAAGTGAAGCATTCAGAAATACATACCAAGAAACCATTTTTCCGGTAGGAAATCCAGCTGAATGGACAGTGCCAAATGATGTCCATGACATAGTTGTAATTGCACCTAATCAAAAGCAAAGTTGTGGAAGGCCTACTGAGAAGAGATTCAGACCAGCGTACGAGGAAAACATAACCGTCAAATGCGGTCGGTGTGGTGAAAGTGGTCACAATCGTAGAACATGCAGCAGCTTAGTTCCGTTGAGTCAAAGCAACAAGAATAAAGAGAGGAAGAGGATGAAGACTGGAAATACACATTGATATATTTTTTATAATTCCCTCGTTTTTCCATTCATTGATTTTTTGTAAACGTAGGATGCAAAACATTGGATGACACATATTAATGATCTGTGATCATTCTACAATAACATGTGACTAGTATGCATTAACTATGATCATTATTAATGACATGTGACCAGAATGCAGTGACTTGTGACCAATATAAAATGATCTGTGACCAGAATGCAGTGACCTGTGACCCCTGTACAATCAACTGTGAATATATGAAATGATCTGTGACTAGATGTCAATGAGCTGCGACCAATATGCAGAGACCTGTGACCATTTATCAAGACACGTGACTAGGATGAAGTGACATACGATAAATATCCAATGACATGTGACAAATATGCGATAAACTGTGACCAACAAAAGATGACCAATGACATATTGCAAAGACTCAGGAAAATGGAAGTGGTTCAGTTGCAATTAGCTGCGACAAAAGTATGAAATGATCTGTGACAAATCTTCAATGACCTGTGACCAGATTGGATTGACTTGTAATAATTCTTCATGACCTGTGAACAATATACAATGACTTGTGAGCAGGGTGCAGTGACCTGTGACAATGGGAATTGACCTGTGATCAAATTACACAAACCAGTGACCTTGAAGCTGCAGATAATCCTAAAAACTGGCGACCTGTGATAATCCTAAAAACTGCAGGTAACCAGTGACCAGTGACCAGGGTGCGGTGACCTGTGACAATGAGAATTGACCTGTGACCAAATTATACAAACCAGTGACCTTGAAACTGCAGATAATCCTAAAAACTGGTGACCTGTGATAATCCTAAAAACTGCAGGTAACCAGTGACCTGTGACAATGGGAATTGACCTGTAACCAAATTACACAAACCAATGACCTTGGAACTGCAGATAATCTTAAAAACTGGTAACCTGTGATAATCCTAAAAACTGCAGGTAACCTGTGACCTGTGACAATGGGAATTGACCTGTGACCAAAAATTTCACAAACCAGTGACCTTGGAACTGCAGATAATCCTAAAAACTAGTGACCTGTGATAATCCTAAAAACTACAGGTAACCAGTGACCTGTGACCTATGACCTGTGACCAGGGTGCAGTGACATGTGACAATGAGAATTGACCTTTGACCAAATTACACAAACCAGTGACCTTGGAACTGCAGATAATCCTAAAAACTGGTGACCTGTGATAATCCTAAAAACTACAGGTAACCATTAAATTTTGAGACTTTGTCCTCGATACAGTGTCAATATAGCAAAATATGATATATAGTGAAACTTCTGAAAAAATATTGTAGTAAAGTCCCCAAACATTAATGAACTTTTTGATATAAACAGATAAAAGTAAGAACTGCGTTGTCATTACAAACGAATTTTCAAAACACGAGACAATGTTTCCATCTATTACAACATGTTACTTCTAATTGCACTATCACTCTAAAACAATGCTTTCCCCACCAGTAGACTGCACCAGCTTTCTAGTCTTCTCGATTTCGCGATGTTTGAACAACAGTGAAGCTACATCCAACCGAGCTCTCCCCGCATCAAACTTCATTGGCATGGATCCTATATCGTCATGTAGCATGTACTCCGCGTACTTGACCACGTAAATGCCACAATCATGTCTAGGAACACAAAAAATAGAATATTAGCTATGAAATCCAGCATGTCATAATATGTTTAACTGTTAGTGGAGGGAAAAAAAACTTGCCCATTTTTCTGTTGGGGAAGAGAGAAATCAAAATCCACATTCAACTCCATGGAATCGTTTTTCCATATTCCAACAGATTTCATGAGATGCGGAAGCATGCTAACAAAGGGTTCAATTCCAGTACGGACTTTGATATCATTGTATGTCTTCCT